AGTCAAGTTGCCTGTCGGCCGAAGGAGCACAGGATATTTAAAAAAACTGTGTCGATCGTGTTAGATATCGGGCACTTGCTTGACTAATATATTTATTTCGGATTTATTTCATGGACCGATCAGTTGAACTTGAGATCACAATTCCCACAAGAACTAACTCTGGCTGTGATAGATTACTGTGTAAAATTAGTGTGCTTTTTTGTGCCTTTCTCAAAGATGTCTCTATAGAGTATAAATAAACGCAATTACAAAGCTTGTTTTTTTCTCATCTGGCTTTGCATTTGTAGAATACGAGTTCATCGCTATAGCAAGACGCCTTGGTGATTCAATTTAGTCAAGCGGTCACAGTCATCTACCTGGACACCGGTTAATTGTTTGTTCCCGTTATTCGTTGAAGTCGAACTCGTAATAGATTATGCATACCTAGAGACAAGCACACCAGAATAATGTTGTGAGTAAACCCCAGGGACCAACAAAAAACACGCCAATTCAACGAATGTACTATTTATAGCTTGGATATAACCTGAATGAAACTTGTCACTTAGTGTAGTAGAAATCAATGGAAAAACTTTCATTTCACTGAAGACGACGTTTCACGAAATTAACCAGACGAAATCAGGTGTAGTCCATTCCATTCCCCTCTGCACGTAATATAAAAGACCATTTGACACTCTTATTTATTGACATTTTGAATCGAGAATTGAAAATGTATCCTATCTATTACAAATAATTCACCTTATCAAGGTCTCCTGCGCCTAGTAGGTCGTCTTTTGGTTGACCCCCATCTTCGTCTCCTTGTCACATTTATTAGTTCGGATGAATTGAAAAACGGTGGAAGATAGAATTTTTCTGGACAGGGTCCAAATAAAGTGCAGTTGATATGTGCAAATGATCTGTTCATACAAAAGCGTACTTCCTCAAAATTGTAGTATGTGACACCCTGGTAAATTTTTCGAAATCATGGAAAGGTAAAGCATCGAAAATGGTTATAAAAAGGATTACAAATAAAAATTTATCTTATCAATCATTCTTCAAAATTCAACTTAAGCAATCAAAACAAAATGTAATTACATTTTCCGAAGCCTAATATATGTGAGAGAAAAACGTACTTTTCCGCGTCCTTGCCTGCATAATAACCAACCTGGAAAACCATATTCTTTCTTCAGTACGTTTTGAAAGTATGTTCGCTATGTAAATAAAACAGCAAAAATTAATTCTATCGACAGTTTACATGTTTGTTGAATTCTAACTTTGTAATGACTTAAAACGGATTATATTGATAACGTGTATAAGGTCTGTTGTGGTTTGAAACGATAAAACGGTCTGAACGTTGTTGATTGATATAAATGGAAAGTAGGTAAATGAGTGATGTTCCGAGTAAAGACGTTTGAGTAAAGTGATATAAATATGTAATTTCTTCATAATTGTTGACATATACACTTACATTATATAGTGTTCGGTTGCTGGGGACGATATTATTTCGTTCAAGTGTGCTAAAATGAATAAGATCAAAGAAAACTTTCGAATGATTTTCACATATCTCATCCTGTCAATCGTTTCATACACATAATCTGGCTAATGCTGATGAATATCATTTTATTTTGACAAGTATATATCATAAATTGGGTAGAGCAAGCATTTGTTCACGCTATTCATCAAATTCTTGACGTCCAGTTCACCTACTGGTAGCCATTTATTGACATTCAGATCTTTCCATGTATCGTCATACAGATATGAAAACAACTTCTGAAACAACGACTTGCGTTCAATTCTAATAACAGATTTATCGTTACACCTATGCCAGAATGATGAAATAAGGCAGTCATCTCAACATATACTGACAGCTCAGGTGGCCTACGCACAAATGTCTATAATTTGTTATTGGTTTACATAAGTAATAATCGTTCTTCCTCAAGATTGATTAGTTATAGCATAAATTACAAAAGTTTACCTTCACTTCAGAAACAGTCATTGTTAAAACTAATGAGAGAATATATACAACACATGTTTATAGGAATTAAATCACATACTTCAAAAGATCCGTTTTGTTATAAACTTCAACAGCAGCTTTGAAGTAACCGAAGACGCTCCGAATTTGAGGATCTTGAACTGCACAATGGCCATGTTTCTTGAATTCGTTTTCCCTTATATTAAAATGTGAAATTGATTCATGAGTCCAACACATAAAGTCAACTAAGAGTAAATAATTATGTTCAACGGCGGTCATGCGAGATGCAATGAAAATAAACGTGAATTGAAACTCGTATAACTAGTCGATTAATTGAAGTGAATTCACAATGGATTCGGCGCAAGTACAATTTTGTATCGGTTAGAAATCCTATAAAATCTTTCACTCTGTAAAAGTTGATATTTGAAATTATATTTCAAAATTCTCGGCGATGTGAAATGGGAAAGAAATTCACTTTTAGTTAAGCTTCAAAAAAAATCTAATTAATTTTCTACATTTCAGTTAATGTAATTTGTCCTATAGTCCTTTATGTCCGAGTATATTGAATCCTGCTTGCACTGTGAAAAAAGTAAACTGATTAAAATCATTTTCAGAATTCAGTGATAACAGCAAATAATACACATGTACTGGTAACTTGTGCTAAATATGATGACTGTATTTCACGTTTGTGATCATATACCCGCCGGATTACAAGACATTCTTGACGTAAAAAAACAAGAACAATCTTAGTCCGCCGAAAGATTGCCATATTTATAAGAGCTGTTTTTGCTCTCACTTGTGTTCGGTCATATTTTCGTTAGCTAGCCTCCTTACATATAAAAACAAACACGGATGATAACTCGTCGTTTATTAACTAGCAGACAGGTGAGCATCAGACGAGGTGTTTGTGTGCTTTCAAAATTCGTTTACAGCTACTGGAAGTGGGTTATCAAACATTTACATACACTCTTACCAAAATACTTCTGCTGCCGAACAGTCTCTTAAACACGGCCATTTATGATCTAATTCTGGTCTCAATGGCTAAAATTAAATAAAATTTCTTGTGACTTAGGTCTATCTCAACAATTTTTAAATCAGAGTGTGATGTCATTCAAAAGTAAGGAAAGACAGTTCTTGTCCAAAATACTTTGTTCAGAATTCGTCGGGAAAGTTGAGATTCTCTTTGAGTTGTACCTGTTAAGGATATCCTCACGTATAAATACTCACCTACGTTATCAGTTCAAACAATGATGAAACTGAAAATGAGGCATTCATACCGAAAGAGTAATGAATGATCAGTTACGCTTCATCTTTTTGAATATGCTTCAATTTCAATAACATCAAAATGAAGCTGATATAATGTCTTTTTCACTTTCGCGCTTACACCGACAAATAGTTGAATAAAGACTTTTAACGTTCACTTCTCAATCCTGCATGGTAATTATATGGGTCAATTTATAATTTTATTGAAATGTGATTCACATGTGAAGGTGTATCTCGAAGCCTCTTAATAAACAGTGGATACTGTTTCAAAGAAATTTATTTTAATAATTAGGCTGTCACATGTATGCATTGCATATTGAATAACAGTCAGATATAAATTATTTCTCATTATTCTGCCTTCTATTGTACTTGGTCAAAGAAGAACTATACTTGAACAAGTTATTCAGGTGTTATTTCGACCAGTAAATATTTCTATTCTCACTGTAGATTTCAGTGAGTGCGAAAAGTGATCAATCTGGTTTCATTGTCATTGATCACCACGCATTTTGAAAACTGTAGAATCTCTGTTTTCTGAAACGTTAGCAAGTATTGGATCACTGTCAGTGATATTAGATATCTGTTGTGAGTTTCACGTAGCCTATAGTTATTGATAGATTTGTAATAGGAATCAATAATTTCTATTGAGGAAGCAGCTCGAAGCAGCATGTTGAGTGAAAAAATATATGAAATGAGTTACGAAACACACCTTATGAACAGCATTTCAACTTATGATCGAACCATTGGTCATTGTACTAGAATGCACACAGCTCAAAGAATTCACAGAAAATTTTAAGAACTAAAACTACAATAATAACTCAAGAGATATCGTTTATTACTCAATATAATTTTACACACTATCTGACGGCTGAATTTGTAAATCATATTTCACTTATTTCTATTAGTCGTGACCTTCTCAACAGTGTAGTGTACTTGAATTGATCAAGAAACGAAAAAGTATTATGACTGTTCAATTTGAAGTTACTTGATCGCTATAAACTTTACTCCGACTGTTCATATTTGCAACGATAAATTAGAATTATTTTACTGTTAGGCAATAATTTTCAATTTGTGCGTTTAAGGTTAATTATAGCCTTAATCTTAAATAGTAATTAATGACACACAATGGTAAAGCAAGTACTTCATTGAACTCACATCTAAAAGTGTCAAATTGAACTTTACTGTCGGCGTGCAATTCGGAGTTATATCTGGATAAATTTGAGGCCTGTCAAACAAAACAATCGAACAACAATCATTGAGAATAAATATATTATTATCTTTCTACAATTAGTGTTAGATTTATCTAATGAGCTGACTAATGTACACTCATTCATGCGATCAGAATGTAAGCGTTTCATTGAGGTTATGATTCCTTGTTCAATAAACAAATTTATCACCCAAATGTATAGCACTTAATACTACAGAAACATTCACACGATGTAACATCAAAATATAATCTTACCACAATCCATGAATTGTGAATGAAGTCACTCCATCAGGTATTGGGCGCTAAATAAGAGGTAAACAAAATTATACCAAAAGATGTTTTTTCAACCAAAGTAACGATTGTACATTATGAAATGTGTATGAAATGTGATAACGTTATCTATGAAATAACAACTCATCTTACAATATACGAATAACAATATGTTGGAGGCCAGATTAAGCCAAACGTGAAGGAATTCCAACCTATATTTTGCGTCTCAGCAATCACAACTGTAGTGTATGTAAGAATAATCAAACAAACGAGTCTACAATTAATAAATGAAGAAACAGTATGCTAAGTATTTTGAAAATCATCTAAAATTCAAAATGAATGCAAAAATATCTGATAATTCCAATATTTACATAACCAAAGTCATAGTCTAATCATGTTTGTTATTAACATAATCCTCTTATCATATATAAATGAAGGTATTTTTAGCGACTATTTTTTTAATAAAATCATTAGAATCGAAATAATATGATCATATTATGAAATACATATTCACTTATGAATTTAGGTATAGGCTATTCACAATAACCTTTGATATAGTAAACATGAAGAATTTGAATTATCACACCAAAGAAAAATAAAAATAAAAATAAAAAATAAAAAAAATAAAATAAAAAAATAAATAAATAAAATAAATATCGACATACGGTGTGCGCATTGTCAACGAACAATTGCAACTGCCAGTCGAAATGGAAAAGCGTTTTCTCGTTCCAAATCACAGAAATTACAATTATATATATATATATATATATATATATATATATATATATATATATATATATATATATATATATATATATATATGAAGTACTGGATTATATCAAAGTTTCATCTAATCACGTAAGTAGAAGAGGTCAGTGCATATAATCTTGTGAGGTTCATTCACATGATCGCTCTATATTTATGATGATGATGTCACAATACTCATACAATATAATGGTCATTTCATAGTGCCATTATCTTGTTCTACGAATTCGCACGTTTCCTCATTCGACAAAATATCGTTTAGTACGAAAGGTTCAAACCAAACAACTAGATAAAATATATACAGCAGGTGGAGTAACCTAATGTACGAAGTCAGGAATAGTTTGTTGAAAATATGTTACTTCGAATATATATATTACTTCGAAGTCAGGTTCGTCACATCATGTTATCTGTGCAATGTTCAACTTGTGAATCACCAATTTTGTGATGACGGATATTTTATATTCTCATAAACCTACTACACTATACATCCTGAAAACCGCTATTAGATAACAGCGAGTGTTGTATACAATAATGAAGAGTTCTGGACATTTGTAATTGCTTCTCAACAACCACAAAACCACATGCGTTCAAAGCGAGTGTGAAATGATTCCGGAGATTTGACCAACATCACATTATGTTATCTGATACCAGTAAAAAATTTCCAGCAGGTGGAATAACCTAATGTCCGAAATCAGGATTTGTTTGTTGAAAATACATTTGAAGAATTAAATGGATGGTTAGATTGAATCAGAAGATACATTACTTCGAAATCAGGTTCATTATATTATGTTATCCGGTAGCAGTATAACACAAATATTTTTGACAAACATTGGCCTTATTTGTATACAGTTCACCAGCGCAATTTCTTCACGACTCTCCATGGATGAGAGGTTGATTTCGTGATGATCGAAAACTTCGAATACTTCTCAATCACATAAAATGTATTTCAAATTACTTCGTCAGATAAATCGACATTAGCTATTCATTCTGTGCATAGATTTCGAAGTAGTTTACTGGTGGAAGTGGTATGCAACAAAGTTACTTCCATCATCACCTAATTCGGATACTTGCATCAATATTTAGCATGTATGTGTATCAACGTAAGAAAAGTTGTAAAATGAAAATTGCATAAAAATGACACGGATATGGACTATATTGTTTATGAGGGCTAATGTTGAGAATGATTATAATTTGAGAACAAGGATGACTGATTTCCGAAATGTGACTAATCGTTATGTAATAATACAAATTCATTTGGTTAACCAGCTGCTTAAATGTCTTGGATTCTCATGGAAGTATTTGTTATGTAGTTCTGGTTGTAGGACTAGATTGTATAATACACATTGATCACATCTCATCGATGTTTGGTTTTCAGTGTTTACTGAAATAGTATTCGATAGAAATTGGATAATGACTTTCATATTTGAATGTTGTATGAACACTTAACAGTCAGGGATTTTTTCCTCAATTATTAGAGTTACATCCTGTTATTGGTCAAAAAGGGATTTAATTCGGAATTCGCATTAATTATGTTTAGTATATTGTAAGTAAAAGGTGGCATAATTGCTAGAATCAACGACACCGAAATCAGCACAAATAACATTTAAATTAGATTATTCACTACTATAAACTATTTGCTATTGTACCGATTCTGATAGAATCACAGAAAACTGAGATGACATGCACATCATACAACTTCTAATAACCAACTAGTAATTTGACCTGATGTACGATGGTTACGTTTGACCATAACAATGTTTTTACCCTCTATTATTAAATCACTAGTAAATCGTCTTATAAGCAAAAGAACTATCATGTCAAATGTAGAAATGTGAATGTGCGTTGCTGACATATCCTAATGCATGAAATAATAACCGCATGAATAATCAACTGGCTTAGACCGCTTTAAAGCCTATATTCGTTATTGAAATCGGCAAATTCGACGATTTCATTATATATTGTTATATCCTGTTGTCACCTATTACTAACACAGCCATAATGGTCGATTATTTTGAGCTCGTTTCTATTGAAGTTAAAAAATTACGTTTTGATGCTACAATGTTTAACGCATGTTCCTATGACCAAACCTCCATATCATTCGCGTCAGATTAGCATTCACGTTTTGTGGAAATTATAAAACTGTTAGCTTGCTTACGGATCTATTCATCTTCAATGGCATTTTCTTTACTGATAACTCCTAATGACAATAATGAGTGACATTATCATATTGTTTTTTGACATTTTATCATATTGTTATTGATTCCGTCATGTAATAAAACCAGAAACAAAATATAATCTCATATCCCTCTATGCTACATGCAAAGGAAATGTACCTATAGATAATTTATTATATGTTCTCCAATTAAAAACAACTTGCAACAAGAAGCATGTCAGTACACAAACTAGAGCAATTTGTAACAAACTGTGACACATTGACTCTCAAGGATTGAGCACTTATACTATAAATATCAGTAGTTGTCTGAAAACACAACTGCACTAGATCATCAAGAATAACAGTTTGATAGAGCCACATTTCCTAAAAAGAACCTCATATGGGACAATTCACAGTACAATTCCTGAATCGTTTGCCTAATTCAGAAGCGGATCAGAATGAAACCAATCGAGCATAAAGCGCATTTGACTGGAAAGAACATGCATATAATATAGGTGATGTCAAGACGAAAATACTGAGTTCAAAAAAGATAAAATATAAGGATAAAAAGAGATAATCTAGACAATTATTAAGGAACAACATCTAACTGTTCAATCCTAATTTATTAGAAGAAAAAATTGTTTTCCACTTGTATAATCTGCAGATTTTAATGTAGCTTATCTGATCAGAACTCTGGCTAATGTCATGGTAATGAGAAGATTTCTATAAGACTATTTCTTCAGATACTACTATTTACTAACAACTTTAGTCGGTATCCATTCGCCCTCTATTTTGATTACGGTCGATTAATCTCCCCAGAGGGCCGTTTCGTCATGGTACGTGACTCATCAGCATCGCGCATCCACGACTACTGCTCCTCGCACGATTCGAACCTGGGACCTTCCTCACTGAAGGCAAACGTTTCATCATCGGATCACTGTGCCGGCATCCAGCAGTGTTAATGTATATCTCTAATTACTCCGGGGATTTCGCGTGACCTCACTTACTTGTCTTTGGTATTTACTGCCTACAAACGACATGGTTGAACTCCATTGGTCACGTCTTATTCAATTGATGTTCTACAATATGATATGTGATTACCGTCACATCTGAAATTCAAGTTATGGTCGACCGATCTGGCGTAAACTTCAAAATTTCTGCTAGACCTTACATCAGATATTTGTTTGCCTATTCTGTAATGTTCAAGCGCTAAGAGTCCGAAAGACATATCAGCAAACGACAAAATCCAGAATACATGCTGTACATGTTGTGGAGCGATACAAAGGCGCTTACTTTAAGTTTTGATATGTGTGGTTGATATTATCTCTGAAACTGTTAAACCGAATTACATTTAGTTGTGGATAACTGTAGGAATCGTCAATAAGTATGCTCGAGGCTATTACGAGTTAACATTGGTCGATAAACGCGAGCAAGACTTTTTCCAGCGTCTAGGTAGGCTACTTTGAATCCAAGGCTGAAGTAAAAGGGCTTTGTAAACCTAGAAGTATATTCTACTAATACTCAGCAATCACAGGACAATCAAGCATACAACTCTTGTTTATTTATACAACATAGGAACATCCTGCAGATAGTTAAAAAAAGGCAAACTAAAATACACAGCAGCCAATCAGAGCCGTGGATTTTCCTGATAGGAATCGAAATCTCAAGGTCAACTGATCAGCCCACGTTCGCAAACGAAGAAAACCAAAATAGAATATTTGTCAAGCGAAATCAAGGGATCTAACATCTTCAACAATTTCTACTTACTTTTTTTTGAAATACCAGGAAAATCTTTCAATCAAGATAATTCCAACAGATTGTTGTACAAAATCAATATATGTTGACGAAAACATGAATTGGCGAATAAGTTGATACGGAAACATTAGTTAAGTCCATAACGATGCATGAGTTGAACCAATAATAACTACAACATTTCCTGGTTTGTTCAACATACTCTGCTCAGAAACAAGGCTAAACATACGGCGAATCAATTAACTAGATCACAACACGTGAAGTATTCGTGAAATCTGCGCGAATGATCAACAATAAGTGTCTCGCGTTACCATTGCAAAATTTGCCGTGAAATAAAATTGCAAGAACAACAATCTGCGGTGTGAAAGATATGGAGAGTAGAAACAATATGTCTAAAAGTGACAGAGCACAGTAAGGTAAAATTACGATATTTTGCATTCACAATAAATTCAAAAGTCTAATTATTTCATTGATGACCCACTTTACCATGAACATCATTTTCATTTTATTAGCCAGCCCAATGATCAAGGACTTTATTAATTTCATATAGAGAGAAAGGTTCCTGATGCGTGAATTAGGTGTGAATGGTTAGATGAGTTACAGAATCAAACATCACTTTGTAAGTGATTCCTGAAATATGAAGTGTTCACGTGATAAGGCATAATTAAAGCTGTCACTTCAGCTGAAATATACTGCATGAACCAGTGCTACAATAACATTCACAACTCTTCAATTATCTTCTCATTCTTCGCTGAAACGCAATCAAATCCTACTTCCACATTTACACGTTGTTGATTTCCATCACAAATATTGTCAAAAATCAATGTTGATCATCCGATGCATGAAGTGGAGTTGTTTAAGAGTCGATGATTCACAACGGTGAAATCTCATTGAGTTCAGTATATTCTTTCGACCTTCCAAATATTCTATAACTAGACTGTGTAGATGTCACATTTCACTTACATTGCGATGCAGCTGTAACAGAAATAGATTACTGAATGAAACTA